TTACATGCATATATATTGAACACCAAAAAATCTTTAAATTAAAATAATCAGCAGGGGTACCTGATCAGATTTCTTCAAAAGGTTTGAAGTTGATAGTAAAATTTGGAGAGCGATTTACAATGTAGGCAGCCATGTTGATTGCTACATCGACATCCATTGTCTACTTTGGATGCTGCCATTCAAGAGATTATTTTTTAGGAGACCCGCCTCTAGTTGACTAAGACACCGAGTTCTAATTCTGTTTTAGTTGTGTCTCGCCAGTCTCGATCTGCTAGTACTGGATGTTGAGTTTGCAAGTCTCCTGATCACACTTGGTCCACCTGTCCGAAGATTGAGTGTCACTCATGTCATTTGCGTAGCCATATTGCTCCGGCTTGTCCTACTAGATCTCAGCGTTCAGGTAGTTCTGATCCCAAAAATTCAGGTGGTTCGGCTCCCAAACTTCGAAAGCCTAGTGGGTTTTTTTCGACTGCTTCTTCTTCGATTACAACTGCTACTACTAATGAGACTCGGCATTCATCTTACAATCTTCACGGCATAGAAGCCATCATCAAACAGGTTATGCAAACCAATTCTGCTATGTCTACCACTCTATGTACATCTACTTGGTATTTTGATTCTGGTTGTTGTCATCACATAACCTCTAATCCTCATAAGTTAACATCTATGTCTCATGTCTCCCACTTACCACCTATACATATTGTCAATGGTACTACCATGCATATTACCCACACTGGTCTTGCGTCCCTCATTCCCTATATCTTCCTGATACATATTCCATCTATGACTTAGTCTTAAATCTTATCTCTGTTGGTCAATTAATTGAATAAAGTCTTACCGTTACATACTCTTCTCGTGGTGTGCAGGTTCGGGATTCTCAAACGGGTCAGCTTCTCGGGACGGGCCGCAAGACGAGTCTGTTATTTGAGCTTAAGTCTTTCCATACTTCATGCACATATCTCCGTTATGCAGCTCTTACCTCTTATTTCTCCAATCTTCATTGGCATCTTCGCCTAGGTCATGCGTGTTCCAGTAAGCTCCAGTCACTTCATACTAAAGGTATTTTAGGTCCAAGTCGTTTTGAGTCTTTTAATTGTGTCGACTGTAAACTTGGCAAACAGTCTGCTCTTAGTTTTTCAGAGAGTTCATCTACTGCTACTGAACCTTTTTCTTTAGTAGATTCTGATATTTGGGGTCCTTCTCTTATTGCGTCCGTCAGTGGTTTTTAGTATTATGTTATATTTATTGATGATTTTTCATGATTTACTTGAATTTATTTTTTGAAAAATTGCTCTGAATTATCCTCTATTTATGCTCAGTTTGCTCAGATAATTCACACTCAATTAGCCCGTCCTATTAAAGTCCTTCATACTGATAATGCTTCTTAATACAATGCGTTATCATTTTTTCAGTTTCTATCCAATCAGGGTACTTTGGTACAGAGTTTTCATCCTTATACTCCAAACAGAATAGGCGCGCAGAACGCAAACATCGTCACATTCTCGATATTGTTCGTGCCCTCCTTCTTTCTACTAAGGGTTGTGATCATTTTTGGGGGGAAGCAACCTTGATTGTTGTTTACAGCATTAATCGGTTACCTTGGTCAGTCCTCCATGATGTCAGTCCCTTCAAGCGTCTATTTGGTCAGTCCCTGATTATAGTTTGTTCCATCCGTTTGGTTGTGTGTGCTTTGTCCACATCCCTCCCCATGAGCAGACAAAGCTTCAACCTTGAGCTCGTTTATGTTTTTTTTTGGGTTATGGCGTTGAACACATGGGTTATAGATGTTGGGATCCTATCTCTAATCGATTGCGCATATCTTATCATGTCACATTTTGGGACCGCACCTATTCCTCCACCTTATCCAGGTTTAGCACACCATTTCACTCATCTTCTCATTTTTTTTTTCATCTTCTCTCTGATCTATTCTCAGAAACCTCTTCATCTTCTTCTTCACAGCTCATTGATCAATTTGTCTTGTCATCGTCTCCTGGATTTGATCCGTCTGAGCCGACGTCTCCTCCTACGCCTCTCCATGCTTGTCGTCACTCCACTCGTGTAAGTAACCCTCCTTCTCACCTTAATGATTACCATTGTTACTCTGTCATTTTATCTTATCATGAACCTAGGTCCTTTTGTGAGGCGAATGTTGATCCATTACGGCAGCAAGCTATGACTGAGGAATTGCAGACTCTGGAAAAGACTCACACTTGAGATTTAGTGGATTTTTCATCTGGCAAGACCTCTATTGGGTGCAACTGGATTTTTAAAATCAAGACACACTATGATGGTTCCATTGAGTGCTACAAGATTTGTCAGGTGGCCAAAGGTTATTCCCAGGAGTATGTAGTTGACTATGAGGAGACCTTTGCTCCTGTTGCTCGTCTCACTACTATTCGTTGTCTTCTTGCCGTTGTTGTTGTTCGTCAGTGGTTCCATTCAAAAATGCATTCTTACATGACACACTTTCTGAAGAAGTTTATATGACCCCTCATCCAAGTTTCTCGTCTTCTGGAAAATTTTGTCGCTTACGTCGCACTTTATATGGGTTGAAGCAGGTCCCTCGGGCTTGGTATGCCACATTTAGCACTGCACTATTGGAGTTTGGTTTTACCATATGTGTTTACGACTCTAGTTTATTTCTTCTTCGTTTTTCATCTGGGATAGTTATACTCTTACTTTATGTTGATGTAATGATCATCACGGGAGATAATGTATCTGGTATTTTTTTATCTACGGGTATATCTTAGCCAACAGTTTGAGATGAAGAACTTAGGTCCCCTTTGTTACTTTTTAGGGCTTGAAATCTCTGATTGTCCCATGCTAAGTATGTATCCGATCTTCTTGCTCGAGCTGGTCTCACAAACTGTCAGGTAGCCTCCACACCATTTGCCTGCAATGTTCGGGGACTTACCCCTCATGATGGCTCTCTTCTTAATGATCCTACCCTCTACCGTCAGCTTTTCGGGAGTTTGATCTATTTGACTGTCACTCGACTAGATATCGCTCATGCAATCCATATTGTGAGTCCGTTCATGGCGGCTCCGAAGACCTCTCACCACTTTGCCGTCTTACATATTCTTCGTTATGTGAAAGTTACTCTTCTGCATAGCTTACACTTTTCCCTGACTCTCAGCGATTACTCTGATGTTGATTGGGGTGGTGATCCCACCGATCGTCATTCGACCACTGATTACTGCTTCTTCCTGGGTGATTATCTCATTTCTTGGCACAACAAGAAGTAGACTTTAGTTTACGCTCGAGTGTCGAGTCAGAGTTTCGTGCTCTTGCTGACTCTACTTCAAAACTTTCATGGCTTCAACGTCTATTCACTGATCTTGGTGCCCCTTAGCCATCTTCTACGGTTCTTTACTACGATAGTCGGAGTGCTATGAATATGGCCTATAATGATACCTTCACGAGTGCACCAAGAATATTGAACTTGACAGTCACTTCATTCGACAGCATGTTATCAATAAGGGAATTCATCTCGTTCCAGTATCCTCTGCAGATAAGACAACATATATCTTCACCAAATCTCAGGTCACTTCTGATTACTCTTGGACAAACTCAAGTTGGTCTCTGTTGCCCCATCTTGAGTTTGAGTGACGTTAGATTTAAATATTTTCTTGATATTATTTTGTTAGATTAGGCCTAAGTCCACTAATATATATATATATATATATATCTTGTGAACTCTTATTATTTTTTAGAAATACAATCTCATTATTTTACTTCAAAATTTTTAACTGAATATATGTCAAAAATATATATTTTTAATTAAATTGTTGCAATATATAATTCCTTCAAATATAATATATTAAATTCATATATAATAATATATTATTTTTATTATAGGGATGTCTTCTACCTTTATCATTTCCTTAGTATTTATGTTGAAAATATTTATTTATATTCTATTGTAGATATGAAATATTCGAATTATATATATATATGAAATAATAATTTAATATATAATCCGTTAAAATTTAACCAACAAAAGTGTCGGAATCTTTTCATTGAATTTTTATATACAAATATAAAAGTATATATCCTACATTTATACAAAATAAGTCTTAATACAAAAATATTTATAACTCTTAACTTAAAAAGTATGCATCATAATTTAAAAAGTGCACAAGTCTCTGGTCTGAATTTGTAAAAAATACTGTATTTGATTATATAATTATGTACATACTCTCTGCTTGAAAACTAGTGTTGTTGAAATTTCAAGGCTGCTCCATTTTATTTTTATTTTTATTTTTATTTTTGAAGTGTTTAATCACTAGATTGGTTGCATCATATTCAAATGAAGCTAAATAATTGGTTTGTTTGTGTTTCCGTACACTCTGAATAGTGAGTATCAATTCACTTTGATCATCGTCATGTTTGGTAGAAATATAAACATTAATTAGACGATGAAGAAATTGATATACTAGTTGTGTTTAGGTATTGGTGATTTATTGGACATTGTATTTGAATATGCATTGTGATTAGATCCGGGTATAATCGGATCCGATTCAGGTCTCGGGTCAGGTCCAACCATGTATATTCGGGTCGGGTCTCAGGGCCAACCGGACCCGACCCATTGCCATTCCTATTTGATGTTCTTGGTGGAGGTGAGAGATCGGTTAGAAATTGAGGGAAAATAAAGTAATTGTTTTATTGGTCAGGCTATAAATAGGTAATACAAAAAAGACTCAATGTAATCAAATATAATATACAGATAAGACCAAATCTAAATATAAATATATTTATAAATATCTAAAATATTTCAACAAACCCTCAATCGAACACTCAAGAGAGCTTTGAATCTCAGGATCTCTACCTTCAATTCATGTCAACACCTGGAATTAGCACCATTGCATTTTCTGAATGCAACAAAAGCCATCAATTCGTGGATCTGGTGATTTGATGTCCACAATGGCTTTTTTTGGTTCACTAATTAATTTTTATGTGACTTCTTGGACTTACATTTGGTGTAAATCATTATCAATATGTAATGTAATGTTTTTAAATCTGATTTCTTGATGATCATTATGCAGTTTCACCTATTATTAGGAGGCTAAGTCCATCTTTAAAATAGGCGATAAAGTTAGATAGATGCAATATGAAAGCCATAAAGAACCTATCTAACACTAACCGACAAAAATCAGAAAAATGTCGTAGAGCAAGCAAATGTCGAGAAGCTTTAGCTTTTCCGGGTAAAGTTGTTTCAGAGATCCGGCATTCCCATACCGGTTTTAGCATCGTAAGTCTTCTCCAGAACGACATCCATTGGAGTGTCCTTAGGACCAACTGCATTAACAACAAAAAACAATAATAACCAATCCTTCCTTTGCTAAAGAAATCTAATTTCCAAATTTATGGATTTTGGGATCAAGTAAAATGTCTCGAACAAGGTTTTATGGATGCATAAACAGCTATAAATCAACAAAAGAATTGCAGAAATGAGATTTGAGTATTCAAGAACCATATGATTTTTACCATAGTTAGGCCTGGGATGCCTCCTCAGCTTCAATATCTCCGGGCGAGGTATGATCGATCCTGATGATCCGATTCCTCTAGATACGCGCACCTTGGTGCCATCTTCCAAGTATTTAGTTCCAACCTTGCAGGGATTCCTAAAAAGGGAAATGTGAAATGTTAGGCGCCGTTTTACCAAGAAAATGGTGCAGCCCAGATAGGGTAAACCTCTCACCCGGTGACCGGATCTACAATTTGAACATTCGAGACATGGAGAGGGGCTTCCATTGTGAAAATCCCACCTGCATTGCCCTGTGTCTGCTTCACATGCTTTTTCACCTGCTCAGAAATTCGTAACTTTTAAATTTGCCTCACAGATACACCCATGATATGAAAAATTACACAAACAGGAGAAGAACTAATGGCGTCAACGAGCAATAGAGAATATTGTCTCTGTGAAATAATACTTTTTCTACATTCTCAGCCATCATTTGAATTGCTTCCCTGAGGAATCCACAAAGAATCTATTTTACCAAAAAAGGGGCACCATCACACAAAATCAATAGGGGTCGAGGATCTTTCGACAAACTCGAATTGTCAGACTAGTAATGGACATCAACAGAACACCATTAAAGAGTATATAAAGAGTTGTCATTCAAAATTATCATACTAGTAATGGACATCAACAGAACACCATTAAAGAGCATATAAAGAGTTCTCATTCAAAATTATCATGATTTGGCTGCAATGAATTTTCGTGAACTTTTTTTCACTATACAATCTTTAAATTCTCTTAAAAAATTGAGTAAACAACTTAGAATAGCTCACCAAATTCTTTCCCCCAACAATGACTCGATTTTGGGAGCGGAATACACGTTTGATAATTCCAGTTTCGCCTTTATCCTTTCCCCTAATTATCATTACCTGCATAGATGATTAACCAACAAAATCGAAATGTTAATGGAAAATGATCTGGAACAAATTTGAATTTTCCTTCAAGATTGCTTAATTCTCCTTACATTATCACCTCTGAGGATTTTCCAAGTCTGAATTATTTTTTGTGCTGCCTTCCAACCCATCTTGTTCTCCCTTGCTGAAATTTCCTATAAGAAAACCTTCACGCAGTCAGAAATCGAATCCAACATTTACTGCAGTTGAACATAGCCGACAGAATCAAATCTCATCAGGTTCTAGATGAAGAATACAACCTCAAGACAAGATCGAGAGCACACTAAACAAACGAGAAAGCTAAATTGGAACACGAATAAGAAAACAATTCACTGCAAAAACACTACAACAGAATTACTCAAATTAGAAGGCGATCAGTCACCACATTCCCATTATATATCAAATACAACAAAATTAATCAAAGAACTGAAAAAAAAAAAAGAAAAATGAGGAGCAGAATGTTTCCAAAGCTTTGGAAGTCACAAAGCAGACAAAATACAGAAAACAGAAAATGACACAGTACAAAAAAAAAAAGCTATACCCAAATCGACACCAGCAGTAACCAAAAATGAGAGAAAGAAATGCATACAAAGAAACACGGATAGTATTGTGCGCGCCCGACTGCGAGGTGGGGAGGGAGGCCGGCGGCGATATGCGAAGTCGAGATATAGGTGTGGGAGCGTGGCTGCGACGATCTCAGAGGATTGATTTGGAATCGATGGGAGGATTTGCAATTGATTCGGTTCGAATCGGCGGTTAAAAACAAATTATATATATATTAACCTCACCGTAAGGTACCAGCATTCACCAGGGGGAGCACCTGGGTGGTTGAAGAAGAAGAAGAAGAGGAGGAAGAAAGGAAAGAAAGGGGAACGAAGAGGATAGAGAAAAGAAGCTGCAGGCGCCTGCTGTGGATGTGTGATGTTTCGATTAGGGCAAAAAAAATTGAAGACCGTGTTTGGTTTTGGGACTAAAATTAATAAATTTTTGGAATTAAAATTAATAAATTTTTGGAAAATTGAATAATTATGATATGGAATGGAACAAAAATAATTTTTACCGAGAAAATTGATGTTGTTTGTTTAGTAAAATAATTTGAAAATATGTGGTGATGTTTTGATTAGGGCAAAAATTTTGATCTTGTTTGTTTAGCAAAATAGTTTGAAAAGATAAATTTTTTTTTTTTTCACGAAATTTTAAAAATATTATTGGGATGTAGTAGAAAAAATAAATTAAATTAAAATAAATTAACTTTATTAATATTGTACTCTCTCTCTCCTGTAAATATAGTCTTATTTGAGTTTCGGAACGAGATTTTAGGAACATTGATAGCCTGTAAAAAGTATAGGTAAAAGAATTTTTTGGCCGTGTGAGTGTATTAGTGTAAAAAGTAGTGACAATTGTGTAATAAAAATGAAAAAATAGAGGTAGTTTTATGGTTATATGATTATTTATAAAAATAAGATTTTCTTTGAAATAGAAAAAAAAAATGATAAACAAGACTACAGCTTGTATAATATATTGTAAATTTAAAAAATATTTGTAATATTAAATAGATTATTAAAAAAATAGATATTTTGCTACCAAAATAGAAAAATGGATATATTCTTAAACAACAGATGAAGTATGAAATACAAAGAATTGCTGAAAAAAAATAAAAATAATAAATACATATAATATATTAATTTTTTTTAAAATTAAGCTTTGTTTAGATATGATTTTTGGAATTTTTGAAATTTAAATTTTTTTAAAAATATAAAAGAATTTGTATTTGATTTACTAATATTTTATGAAAAAATATATATATTTGATATAATTATTTTTTAAATGAATAATTCTAAATTAATGAAAATTTTGCAAGGTAAACAAAGCCTATTTTGGAAACACTTATTAAAATGAAAATATATATTCTATAAAAATAATATTAATATTAATAAGAAAATACAGTATTATTAATGATATAAAAAATAATATACTATTATTTTTATATTTTCATATTTTAGATTTTATAATTTTTTATTATATAATTTAATTTAAATTAAATTATAGATATAATATTTTTTATAATTAAATTTTATTTATACTAATTCAATATTTAATTTAACTCGTTACTAAATTTATTACTATTTTAATGGTTTTTATAATATAAGAATTTAATCAATTATTATTATTTATATAATTTTTATACAACAAATAAATATTTAAATAAAATAAAAATTAACATTAACAAATCTTTAATATAATTAAAATTTACAAAAAGTTAAAAAAATATATTAAAAATAAATAATCAAAATATTTAAATCAAAATTGTCAAACTGAAACTGAAATGAAGATTCAAAAGTTTCTATTACAATTTGACCTTTTATGATGATTATTTTGGACATAAACCATTTGCCTAATCCATATTTTTTACTTGGGATATGCTGAAATTAAATAAGTATGTCATTATTAAATTTACTTATAATTTATTAACAATAATTTTATTATTTTTATTTTAATAATAATAAATAATTTATTACTATTCTTTTTACCATCATCCATTTTAATTAGTTTCTAAAACGGTGAGATCAAGGACCGTTTGGATTGACTTAAAAAATATAAGTACAAGTCAAAAGTGGAAGCAGAAGCAGTTCGATTTTGTATTTGGATAAATCATTATAAAAACAGCTTTTCGTAAAAAACTGTTTGAACGTTATATAATTAAAGTGTTTTTAAACTGTTAAAATTACTTAAAAGGACATGCAGTTGATATAATACTAGTTTTTCTATAACACTTTTATAATTTAATTTAAAATTTATAAATTATATTTAAATATTTTAAATTAAAGTATAAAAAATGTACTTTTAAATTTTGATTATTTATATTTTAAAATTTTAATTTAAGGATAATATATCAATTAAACATAAAATTACAGTATAATATTATATAATTTATATTTTATAATTTATTTTAAAATTTTATAAATTATATTTAATAATTTAAATATAATTAAAAAATTTATATACTCCTATTTACATTCGGTACTTAAATTTTAAATTTTAATCCAAATATAGTACATAAATTAAAAATAATAAATTAATTATATTTTTTAATTTGTATTAAAATATAATATATATGTATATAAGTTATTTATTTTTATATTATATTATATTATTGATTTATTATTATTATTATTATTATTATTATTATTATTATTATTATTATTATTAAGGATAAAACAGTAATTTTGACTTTGCTTATTTCAAAAACTACCTCAAAAAGTTGCTTCTGCTTTTGGACAGAAGCCAATGCAAACAGGTGCAAACTGCTTTGTAGAAGCCAAAAACTCCTGTCAGAAGTCAATCCAAACGGATCTAAAATTGATTAAAATAATTAATACTTGCATCAAAATTGATGATTTTTTTTAATATTAAAACCAAAAAAAATCTTTATTATTATTTTGAGAATATGTTATTTTTTAGAATAAATTTGAAAATATTGTTTTTATTATTGTTTGTATTTCTCTATTTTGGGTTTGTTCTCTATATATTTTTAGCTAAAAATGTTTTTGATGTTAGACATGAGTAAAAAAAAAAAAAAAAAAAAAGTACTCCATATTTTTGTGTTGAATTATTAATTTTTTGTAAATCAAAAAAATATACCACCTCCGTCCACCCGTTAATTTATCCATTTACTTTTTGCATGTTAATTTTTGAATATTAATTATTATATCAAAACATATTACAAATAAAAAAAAATGACAAAAATATTTTCATTGGTGTCTTATAATACTAATGTAATAATATTTATAAAAAAAAATAATATAAATATAAAGATATTTTTAATATTAAAAATAATAACACCAAATACAAATGAATAGATTAACGATGGACGGAGGTAATATATTATATTATTGTGTATATATTGTAAATTTTTAATAGTAGTAATACTTTCGAAAAATCATTCCACTTAAAAATACTTCTCAAAAAATCCTTTATTTCTTTATGGTAAAATAATAATTGAATGATACTTTCTAAAGAATAATTATCTCATTTAAAATGGGCGCCTTTGATTTTGATTTGAATCCAAAACCACGCCAATTGCCCATATAGTTCACAATTTTTTTTAATAATTAAAAAAAAAAAAAACCATTATTTTCTCTTGCAAATATATATCAAAATATTACTTTAAATCAAAACTTAAATAAAAACCTCACTCAAATCAAAATCAAACAAACCCCATATTTTTTGCTAAAATGAAAAATAAAACAAACCAAGACAAGATACAGGCAATAGAGTTGTGATTACTTGGCTGCAGAAAATTTGTTCTTCTTGTTGCCTTTCTTCCTCGTGCCGCTCGACTCCGGCGCTTCCTCCTCTTCGGCCTTTTGCTCGGCCTCTTAAGATCGCCAACTACATTGTATCAACCTCACCACAATAAGCATCGACGTTTTTGTAAATTTTGTGACCATCAAGTTTAAAGAAGCTTTAGTTACCTCGTCAAGTATTGGCTTGAGTTCCTTATACCGGGATTTCGCAAGGTCGAATCCATCCTTCCGGAGTTCCTATAGACCCAAAAAAAGCAATTATTTAATACAAACATGTAAAATATTATGTATAAATATTGTTGCATAACTCAAGTTTGTGTTACCGAAAAATATATACAATTTTTTTTTGTGCAAAAACAAGAAATTTTATGCACTATTTTACTAATGCAGAGGTAAATTATACTCCCTCCGTCCGGCTCTAAGGACCTCATTTACTTTTTGCGTCAATGTACTTAATATTAAAAATATCCTTTTGCACAAATATCATTATAATAGTATTACAAGATACTAATAAAAGTATTTTTGCCAACCCTTAGAGTTGGATGGAAGTAGTATAATAACATTTATATGGGATATTTTATACATTTATAATTGGATGTGGCTTGGAAAATTTGCCCCGTTCTCTTTTATGATTTATAAATTACAAGAGACTCATGTTTTATAAAATATTGCACAAATTTCTCTGGAAATTGCATGAGGTCCCTTGTGTTTTAAAAAGTATTGTATATAACCCTTTAAAAATTGCATGAGCTCCCTTGTATTTTCGAAAAGATTGCAATCTTTTAAAAAATACGAGAAAGTCTTAGCAATTTCTAAATCATAAGGAGAATAGTACAAACTTTCCAACCCATAAGGAGGTTGAAAATAATTTTGCCTTTTAAATTAAAATATAATTCTATAGACGTAATTTACTCAACTTTCATCAAAAATAAGGAGTGTAGGCGAAAGAAACACGGACCTTGCCGGTGTGTTGTGTGTGCTCATAAGCAGCCATTTGCCAGTACATATTTGTGCGCTTGTAGAAGTCCTTGAGAGATTCTCCGGGCTTTGTTTGTACAGAGAAATATTTAGTAATCAAAATGAAGAAATTGAGGGAATAGAAGACAGAATATGGAATAAAGAAGCTCGATTAAAGAAGATGACGTAAAGAGAAACACCAAAAGTTTACCGAGTATTATACCATTGGTGTTCTCTGTGCATCAGAAAGACCAAGGCTGGCTCTAATCTGCTCGATTCTGATGCGTTTCTCCTTCCGTCTAAGTTTCCTTCCTTCGCCTTTTATAATAGCAACAGCGTCGCCCATTTCAACCGAATTTGCAGCACCATTTGTAGTCTATATAATCAGACAGGCGTCACTCAAATGTATATCATTTATCAAAGAATTGGCTATAAGATTAAACGTAGTTTATATTCATGAATTCCGAAGACTAGAGTGTATCACCTCCAATTCGTCTTCTTCATCACCTGACTCTTCGCTGTCGTCACCACTGCCATCTTCATCATTTTTGCCATCCTCTTCATCTTCATCTTCTTCCTCGCCATCTTCTTCTTCATTCTCTGATTCCTCAATCCATTCTGATTCAGATGCCTGAATAAAGTTCATACCGAATTGTTAAGGAGTACACCACAAGCGCAACACTCAATTGGAAAATGATAGAAGTGTTTTAATCGATGAGCACTAACCGGAATGATGCACCTCCACTCATCCAGTTTGTTAAGGTTGAGTGCGTACAGATCGTCCAGCGTAATTTCTTGATCTTTAACTTCCATCATCCCACCATAAATGTATAACGTATCTTTTCCAACAACCATACAAGAATTGATTCGTCCACACGGTTTTACAACCTGCAAAGGAGGTTGAAGACAAACATAAAAAGCCGAGAAGATTTCTAGAATTGTCTGATAATAACTGAAATTCGACACAGCTAGATAAAGTAGAATATGCTCGACACACCTCAGGGATAACAGAGCTTTGCACAGCAGATCTCTTGGTAGATGCGGAAGCTTCCATAGTGTTACTGATTGTTACATTTCTACTCAAATTAGACGATATATTTTTTACACTGCACTCGACCTCTGCATCATCATCTTCAGAATTATCGTCTTCATCAGAGGATAAGTTACTTTGCCTTTCGGCCACTCTCAATTTGTCAGAGATTTCCATATCATTTTGTCCCATCTCAGAATCCTTCTTTTGCTGCAAAAATGTTCCATGTCTCCATAAAAACATATATCTCTCAAAATAAATAGAAGTTGAGAATCACATGAAATTTTTAGATCATCAAATCAACAAGATCCGTACCTTTGCTTTTGTTGCTTTCTCCTTTCGAAGCTCCAAAGGATACCTTTAATGAAAAAAGAGGTAAGTCTCCATAGATTCAACAAATTAAGTAAAATTATACCGAAGCATTCAGGGAGTCGGAAGCCACCAGCGATGATTGTCCAATTGGAAGCCATAAATTTCATTCAAGAACAAGCTCATCATTAGGTCACCTGTAAAATAGCTAGGATCAGAGATTCGATCATGGAGAGTGGTTTCAAGATAGCAAATGAACAACGCAGAATATACGAAGATATCATTTAACCTCTGTGAGGAATATAGAAATAGAAAAAACAAACCGATATATTAAAATAAAGCCATGTCTTGATAAAGGCAATTTAGGACACAACCAATTCCTTGACAAATTGAAAATATACTTTGGGAACAATCTGATGAAATTAGAGTAATGGTGGTCATGCGTAACATGTGTAAGAATCTTAACTCTAAGGTTCAATTATTTTTTCGGCTAGTCATCAACTATTTAGGCCAGCCTGTTACAAGGCTAGTATATATTTTGATTACAATTTACATTGACGAAAGAAGAATATATGAATCATTCCATGTCCTGGATATATATTTTTGTATCCCAAACCAAAAGGCCAAAATGGCAAAACTGTTTTCTAATTACTAACTCCGTCCCAAATCTTTTGCAATTCTTTCTAATTTGGACTGTCCAAAATCTTTTGGGACTTACCTTTTGTTTACACAGTTTTTCGGTTTTTAAAAAATTGTTTGGATATAATAGATTTGTTTATTCTGTATTTTTGGTCGGATGTATTTTAATGTTAGATATGAGAAATTATGATGATAATTTAAAAAGTAATATTTTATATTGAATTGTACAAAGTAGATAGAGTATATATATTATATATAGTGTTAATGTGTGTATATTAAGTTTGTTCATCCAATATATTTTTAAGTGGCACAATTCCCCTATAAATATTACAAAAGATACAATATATACATATTAACATAATATATATAATCTATTCACCCACAAAAAAATCAACAAATTCAACATAAAATGTTATTTTTTACATTTCTCATGCCTAACATAAAATACATATTCATTCAAACCACAAAAAAATCAACAAATTCAACATAAAATGTTATTTTTTATATTTCTCATGCCTAACATAAAAATACATATTCATTCAAAACTACAAAGTGAACCACTTCTTCTGTTCCTCCGTTTGGTGAGTTAAGAACCTCCTTCGATATGATACTTTCTAGACCTACGAGGGATTTGGTATGAGAGATGAGATTGAACCCTGTGTATTTTTTTTAAAATAATATTTATAGGAATCGTTACACCCTAAAACACTAATTGAACAAAATAAAGTTTGAAAGTGTTTTTAAACTGCTAAAATTACTAAAGAACACATGTTACTGTAAATGCATTTTTTATTAAGTTTTTCTAATTTATTTTTAAAAGATTTATAATCAAGCCTAATTGAAAATATATTTATGTATCAATATATTTTAAATTTTAATGGAGTAATCTACAAATAAAGAAAAATATAATTAACTTAAAATAAATTTTACACTACAATTTATTTTAACACTTTATAAATTATATTTAAAAATATTAAATTATCTACTATAATTAAAACTTATATTTTTTAAATATGATACCTTAATTATATTCTTAAAATTTTTAGTTAAAACACTATAGCACAAACAAAAATTAAAATACAATCATCTTAAATTTTAATTTAAGTATAATATATAAATTAATTAATTTTATGTTATGTTATTTTATTATTGTTAGGGATAAAATAATAATTTAGGTATTAAAGTTGCTTCTGCCTTATTCTAAAACACACTTGGAGCCTAAAAGTTGTGTTTGCTTTTGATCAAAACTCAATGTAAACATAAACAAAGTACTTCTCTTTAGAAGTAAAAGTCAAAAACACTTTCTGAAAACCCTCCAAACGGGGCCTTAAAATATTATCATCAATGGACTTTTTGTCCAACTAACTTGCTTCATATTGTTCAAGTAACCTAAGCGACCTTAACTCTAACGATTTAGCTATAATAATCCACTGCCTAACACCATACAACCCCATATAATCCAGACTTTACCGCTCCTTAGAATTTAACATTTTGGTTACTAGTTGCCTCAAATTAGGATTAACTATATGTTTTTATCTTTTCTTGGAGAGCAACTCCTAACCTATGTTATAACTACAGAGATAGAATGCTATTGCATAAGGACTATAAATGGTATATATTGGTTGGCGTCGGCCAGCCATCATTTGGGCTATTGGATTTAAATAGTGTGGTTTCATTCTCATTTCCTCCTGTTAATGCAGTAGACAAATTAATCACTGAATCTTACTGCAGCAATACAGCATTGAAGAGTTCCATTTTTGTCTTTTCAACAACCTAAAACCAACATTTATCTAGGAGAATATTCAAAATGCGGATACGGAAGTATTAATTTTGAGCTTAAATATATTAAAAAAAGGATTGGGGGAGGGGGGTTACCTTCCATTTCCATGTCCACCACTCCTCCAAAGAGTAAAGCCCGCTTTTTGTGTATACACATGGAGAAACCAGCACGAGGTCCAGGAGGCATCCCACTCTTCTTTACCTTTTTATACGAACAAGAAATGTAGGATTAACTGATTATTCTTGCAAGTAAACTACAAAATGTTTTCCATTTCATGACATTGTAATAGTAGTTGACCTTATGATGTACCAGAATTCAAGGGAGAAATGATTTAAGATTTATTTGCACAAATTTTAAAGCATAAAATAAGCAATAACAATAGGAAAAGGGTAAGTCTAAAAATAGGTGAAGTGAACCCACACATTATAGACAAGCTTATATAGCTATATATATAGATATATAGATATTAATAATGAACTGATCATGCGTCACAGAACATTTTATCTGACATTATCAAGAAATCCATGAAAAGTGAGCAAAAGATTGAATATAATGAGAATAATGCCACACTAGTGCATCAAAAGTAGTGAGTATTTACCTTGTTCCATTCCCAAGTTCTAGGATCAAGACTCCACATGTCTGAATGAACAATTCCTTTTTCTGATACCTTTTTGTCTGGTGATGTTGAAACCTCTTTGGAATAACCACCATATAAATAAATCTGAAATAAAAAGTTACTAAGAACATCTATGGCTGTGAGGATGAAATAATTTCAGCTTCATCAATTTCCACATAAAACTAGATTTTTTCCTCAGTCTCACATTACTAATATAGATGCAAAAAGAAAGAAATTTATATGCTAATAGTATTTGATAATACAGAAGAGAATCCCGCGGGTGAGGTGTTCACCTCATCTTGACTAACAAAAAATTGAAAGCCACTTCGCGGGCTAGGCCACAAGCATCCAAGTCGAGGTTTAATTTCTTCCCACTACAATGAAACAAATTGGGTTCTGATTAACAAACACAAAAGAGAAAATACTAGCAATTGACGTGCAGAAAATTCAAACTCATCACCGCATCATACCTTAAACTGATCGAGATCAAATACATGCAAATCATTGTAATACCTACATCAAATAAAGTTTTAGTAGGGATGTAGCATAAATTCAGAAACAGAAGCAATTCTTATAGCCAAGCAATGGTTTAAATTTGACAACTGGATGAGGCCACACTACTAAAATTTGGAGAAGTTTTAAATACAAAAGGGCATGCATTTAATATCAAGAGACGAAACAAACATAGCTCGTTGCAAAACTATACTTATTCACACACACACACACAGTGAAGTTTACATCCAAAACCAGGCTAAGAACTAGAAGGCAACCTAACTTCTCTGAGAGTATCATAGAAGCCTCCAAAAATTATAATTTTGTGCTTGTACAGGACCTGCAAAATGATGAGCCGAAGCATATTAATTTTAGAATCTGAGAAAGACTGGATAAAACCAATGAAAATAACTAAAACATAACATAAAACACAAGCATAAGCAACCATAAACAAGCAGCATTAAACACATGATATCGCGACAATGTACTGAGCGATGGCTCTCTTTTCCTCTTCCCTCTGAACCAAAGTCACTGATTCATCACTGAATACCACAAGAGACATTGGATATAAAAATCCAACCAATCTCAGATTAATCTCAGTTTTCATCTGTTTGAATTTACTGAACCTAAAGCGATGAACAGATGCTTATAGAAATCCAGTCCAGCTGATAAACACAAGCAAGCATTAATCACATTGGCGGTCCATAGGGAAAAGACTTACCATTCGATGTCCCGATCTGGGACTTGGACAACCTTTATAGTTCAGTTGCTCCCATTGGTTTGTTCTCAAATCTAGCATCCAAAAGTCCTACAAACGAACTTTAAAATTAGTATTAACTGAGATTTCACTACCATCAGTAATTTACTTAACAACAACTACAAACACCTTGTAATGGTGAAAACGCTCTTGATTGGGAGATGTGAATTCACCACCTGATTACATCATAGAACCAACTTATTCACACAGATCTTGCACAAAACTTGAGTGTGTTTTCAGTATGAGGTCCTACCGTATATATAGAGATAATTTTTCCAAGCAACTGCTTGATGAGCACTTCTAGGAGGAGGGCTGTTTGGGCTTGATATATGTTTCCACTCTTGCTTGTCAACGTCATACCGGTACAGATTGCCATATACATATGTCTGGAAAAAAAATTCCAATCTCAATCACAACTATTAACTCAAATTCCTTCAAACATGTCAAATTATAGAGTAATAACAACACAGAACCACATTATTTCCTAATGTATGACCATGAAACCCCCATTTAGAGAATTAGCACATGCAGGAATTCAATATCATTTCAAAAACTAGCAATTCCATTCAAGAAAGTTGCTTGTTTTATTTCGCTTGCTAGAAGGAAATAAAAGAAAACTGCATATAAAGTTATCAATGACTTGGCCATTTGAGTAAAACTGTTATATTTCTTATTTCTAAAATATAGGATCACAAAATTCGAGTTCTGCCAATAGTTTCATACGCTTAAGGAACATAAAAATTACAAGGACACTAACCTTTTTCCCATTGTAAAATTCACCACCATAGAGAATTAACTCTGTCTCTTTCAATGGATTAATAGTAAGCTGCCAAGAAAAGAGATTAATGATGCTCATCTATTTTTCTGGAAAATACACAATAACGCCATTAAAGATTTTGAGGTTCGGATCCTAGTATCCTACCGAACAATTCGATCTAGGAGTTGGAGCAGGGACATTGTCTTCAACATGAACTTCTTTCTTTTTTGCTTCCTCTTTTTGTATACTCAACTGCATAAAACAACTCCAAAGCGCTTTAAAAATTCAAAACCATACTTCAAACTTCAAAATTTTCTCAACAATGTTTCAAAAAAAAAAAAAGCTCAGCCTTGCAAGAAAGTTCACAAATTATGTGTCTGCAATGGCTGCAATGATCGTGAAGAGTGTTGACAGTTTGAATATGATAGAAGGGAATAAATTCCTGTAAATGCTCCCCAAATAATGCACAAACGACGAAAATCAAACAATTGAAGCAATTAAATCAAATCCTAAAAGTAAAAAGAAGTTTCACAGAGTGTGCTGATGAATACCAGAATGGCATCGATGTCGTCTTCGGGAGAGAGTTTTTTGGAGTCCCGGCGAGCCCTCTTTTCCTCTGCTTTTGCAGTTTTCTTCTCCGTCTTCTCTTTGCCTTTTCCAGGCTTCTTGTTTTTCTTGCCCATATTGCGTTTCGGTAAGTTTCTATACTACAAAGCTGCGCCGCCGTTCGCCGCCGACGAGTGACTGACCGACGGCTTTACTTCGCAGTTAAACGGCAGCGAGGGGAGCCTTTGTTGTTCTTGGACGGGCTGAAACCAGGTGGACCTTAATTGGGCTAGACCAGCATTTTATAAGGCGGCCGGACCCGGGATGGGCCTTGGGCCTTGACATGCCCAACCGGTTTCGAACCGCCGGTTTGTCAGGTTCAAACTGAATTGATTATAACCCGGTTCGATTCTGAACCGAAACAGTATAAATTATGTTAATATATACTCGCTCTGTCCACTTACAATGTTTACATTTACTTTTGGCTCGGTGTTTAAGAAATAATAGTATTTTAATTATAGTGAGTAGTTAAAAGTAGTGTAATAACATTTTTGCCCTTATTTTTTTGTGTAAATGTAACGATGTGAAGTAAAGTAAGGGTATTTGTGAAAAAAAGTAGGGTATTTAATGAAATGTAAACTTTGTAATTGGACGTCCCAAAATAGAAATATGTATATACTTTCTGGCTGGATGGAGAGAGTATTATAAATTTGTCTCCATTTTCTATTTTTGTCCATCCTAGATAACTTGACATTTTTATTTTTAAAGTATAATTATGCACTTTTATCGCATTTTAAAATTTAAAATTTATAATTTTCTTACTTTTAATTAAACTATTTACTTATCTTAATCTTAATTTATAATTATTTTTATTAATATATTTCTTAATTACCTATTAATTATATTTTACCTAAATTCTCGTATCTACGACAATAAACCCAAAATATCTGGGACAGAAGGAATAATATTTATAAAATAAAAAATAAAATAAGATTGTACCATTTAAAAACACAAATTGAACAAACTTATATACTCCCTCCATCCCACGTATCATATCAACGTTGTCGTTTCTGTCCATCCCACATACCATGTCACTTTCCTTTTTTGGAAAATGATTATACACTTTAATCTCATTTTAAACTTTTTAAAATTTTAATTATATGATAATTATTTTCACTAATACATTATTAATTATCTACTAATTACACTCCTTCTAAAATACCGTGTCTACAGTGTAGCAGACACGGTATGTGGGACGGAGGTAGTATTTTTATTGCGTTTCTCTTGCAATTACTTGTAGTCTTAAAAGAGATTATGTACCGTACAATGATTAAGTATAGATTTGCATTTTGTATATATATCAAAAAATTGTTATATAAATAATACTCCTTTTGTCCGGTTTTAAGGTCTATTTATCTTTTGCGTCATTGTATTTAACATTAAAAATATTTTTTTATTTGTCTAATTTTTTGCACAAATGTTATTATAATAGTATTATAAAACAATAATAGAAATATTTGTCATTTTTCTTTAATTTGTACTATAGTTTCATATAATAATTAATATTCAAATATTAACACGCAAAAAGTAAATTGTACCCTTAAAATCAGACAAAGATAATAATATAATATAACTAGTAAGTATTCAATATATATTTATATATATATATATATTGTAGTGGGTATATATATTGTAGTGGGTAGGAATGTGTTTATATTATGATAGTATGCATGTTATACAAGCATTTATGAATATAGGACAATTGACATAAGAGTAGAGGAAGAGAGAAGATAAAGGATGATAGTAATATTCTATTTGCATTTGTACATAGTTATAGGTGCGATGCAGAATGAAAGTTGCGGTTATTGATTTGTCACAAGATGAACACGTATATGCTATGTACTAAATCATCCACATCTTGTACACGTCGTCATTATGTGTACAACACTTTCACTTGGATGGTTTATACAAAGAATGTGTCTCATAAAAACCTTACTATGAAAAAATCTTGTGGGAAAAAAAAATAATAATAAAGGAAAAAGAATACATCATTCTTAAATTAATGTGTTCCCCTCACGTTTTGGACTTTATTTAATATCTTTCATCCGACGCATTTCAATTTCTTGCACCAATTTATTGAATGTTGCAGTCGGTAGCGCCTTCATAAATAAATCTTCAAAATTTTCATATGATAAAATTTGTTTCACATTAACTTCACCACTCTTTTGAAGATCATTAGTGAAGAAAATTTCGGAGATATGTGCTTTGTCCGATCACATTTAATGTATTCTCCTTTTAATTAAACTATGTAAGCTGCATTATATTCAAATAATATTGTACGAGGTAATATATCATCAGAAATCAAGCCACAATTTTTGTAAATATGGTGAGTCATAGACCTCAACCAAATGCATTCACGACTGGCTTCATGAATTGCTAAAACTTCAGCATGGTTTGAAAAAGTAGTTTTTATTGTCTGTTTAGCATATTTTCAAGAGATTGTGGTTCCACCACACGTAAATACATAGTCAGTTTGAGATTTTTCTTTATGTGGATCAGAAAAATAACCAGCATCAACATAACCAATTAATTCATTTCGAGATTCACTCCAATAAAATAAACCAATGTCATAAGTCCTCTAAAGATAACGAAAAATGTGTTTGATACCATTCCAATAACGCTTTGTGGGGGATGCGCTAAATCTGGCCAATAAATTTACTGAGAAAGATATATCTGGTCTGGTATAATTTGCAAGGTACATTAATGCGCAATAACGCTGAAATATGGTACCTCTGGGTTAGGTAATTTTCTTTTCTTGGCATAAATAGATCTTTACTGGGATAAAGTGATCTGATCACAATTTGTGTACTCAGAGAGTGAGATTTATCCATATAAAATTATTTTAATACATTTTGGGTATATGTGAATTGATGAATAAATATCTCATTATTAACATGATTCACTTGTAATCCCAGACAATATTTTGTCTTTCTGAAATCTTTGATCTCAATTTCTTTCTATAGATATTCAACTGCAATTTGAATCTCTTTTGGAGTTCCAATTAAATTGAAATCATCAACATATATTGCAATGATAACAAAATTCGATATATTTTTCTTAATAAAAACGCATGGGCATATTGGATCATTAGTATAACCTTCTTTTATTAAACATTCACTAAGACGGTTATACCACATTCGCCCTGATTGTTTAAGTTCATATAATGACTTTTTCAATTTGATGGAATATGATTTCTTTGTGTTTAATTTGTATGTTTTAGGCATATTGAATCTCTTAGGAATTTTCATATAAATATCAGTATTCAGTGAGCCATAAAGATATACAGAAATTGTGTCTAAAAAACGCACGTCTAGCTTTTCTCGCACTACTAGGCTCGCAAGGTATCTAAACGTTATTCCATCAACAACTAGAGAGTATGTTTCATCAAAATTTACTCCAGGTCTTTGTGAGAATCCCTAAGTTACAAGACGGGCTTTATATCTTACAATTTCATTATGCTCATTTTTTTTTTCTTACAAACAACCATTTGTATCGAACTGCTTTTATACCATCTGGTGTTTGAACAATTGGTCCGAAGACCTCCATTTTGTTTAATGGGTAAAGTTCTTATTGAATCATATTTCCCATTTTGCCTAGTCATTTCTTTGCTAACATTCATGAATCGATTTCGACTCTGGATCCTCATTTTCTTCCATTATATCAAGTGCTAAATTGTATACGAAGACATTATCAATAATTTCCTCTTTACAGTTCCAACATTTTCTTGAAGTAACATAGTTGATTGAATTTTCAATAATTTCATCATGTTCTTCAAGATCGTGCTCTTTTAGAGCAAGTATTTCATGGTTAACTTCTTCATTAGATTGAGGTTTATCAATGTCAATCATGATATTTTCATAATTATCATTATTCATTCATCTTTTCTTTCGAGGATGTTTGTCATTAGAACCGAGTGGTCTACCACGTTTTAAACATGTCGTTGATTCATAGCACTTGCAATTTGTCCATCAGGAACAATTATATTAGACAGAACATTAACAGCTTAGATATATGATCGAATGATTTTGCTTGAGTCATTGAAAGTATCCGATAACTGATTTGTAATATTTTACAAATGTTGAATGTGTTGATATATATTTTTATATTAAAAACAATCACCTAATTAGTCAAAATATGAAAGCTATGAAACAAGTAGTAAACTATAGAAAATCAAATATCAATTTCACATGCAAAGGTTGAAAAGTAGAAATAAAAATCTTGAATAATTCCTTTTGAAGTTGTCAATGTCTATATTCACCGTGTTAAAAATTTGGGGGAATGAGCTCCAATCCGCATCTCATTTTTGGAATATGTATACAGTATTATTTTATTGCACTGTACTTTCATTCTATTTTTTAAGTGAAATTTTTGTAGTGTTTTTGTATAATTTTGTTATTTTTTGGAGTGTATAATGTAATTTTATTTTTTTTAGAAGATGATATATAATTTTATATTATAAAAAGTGATATGTAATTTTATTTTTTTTATAAGATGATATATAATTTTATATTTTAAAAAGTGATATGTAATTTTATTTTTTTATTTGAAAAATAATGTAAAATTTTATTTTTAAAAAATATATAAAATTTTATTTTTTAGAAATTGATATAATTTTTTTTATATATATATATGTAATTTTTAAATAAAATATAAATTATATATGTTTGGATTATAATGTAAAAATAAATTAAAATTAAAGTGTAATTAATAAATATTAAAAGTTATATAAAAATAATATAAGAGATGAATATATAGAAAATATATTTTATTTTGTTTTTTAGAGTAAAAAATAAATTTTATAATTAGATTAAAATTGAAATTTATGGTTAAATTCTAAAACATCATTAATTTGTCTTGTCTAGTAAGGGATAATACGTGGTAAATTTGTCATTGTAAAGTTACTAGTTCAAAATAATAGAAATTAATATTTGAAAATTTGAAATTAAAAGAAATAATATTTAATTTGATATTTTGTTAGAGAAAAAGATGTATTTAATGTAATATTTTATTTTTTAAAAAAAGTGTCAAAATTTTTAAATTTGTTATGTAAACAACTTTTCAAGTGTGTTTGTTTGGGGTTTAATTATTTTAATAGTAACCTTAAAATTTAAATAATTATTTAATTGAATATTAAATATTTTGAATATAAAATTTATTTTTAGTATTTTATAAAAAAAAATAAAAATTAAAAATGTGAAAAATAGAAATAAAAAAATCTTCCAAACAAACACAGTTTTCCGAGAGCGGTTGGGTTGATTGGCTCTTCGGCGTGAAGCTCATACCAATTTCACGAACAGATCCGTTTTATGTTTGTCGTCATCAACCACTAATCAGAACAGCGCCGATCTGAAATCAATCTTTCTGTTCTGTTGGGAGAGGATTAGAGTGATGGACAAGAAGAAGACGCGAATCTGTCTGATTTTCACGACTCTGCAACTCTGCTATTTTTTTGCTCAATCACAGTCAGACGACCAGGTATTCGTAAACAATCTAAAGATATGCTCTTCGAAATTGTTAGTTGACAGTAGCAAATAATATGAAATTGTGCAATATTCGAGTTCAATCATTATCCTTCCATTCTGTTGTTTGGTTTGTTTCGTATTTTGGCTATCAATCATCTGCTCCGCTGCAGATTTGAGTTTTATTTTATCATGGAGATAAGAAAGAGAAAGCACTTATCTTTTAACCGATTAGAATGCCAAACGAGTCTTCACTAGAAATTTTGCTTCTATGCTTAGCTTGATAAGTTCATCTTTATTATTGAATACCAAGTAAATACAGAACAATTATTTCTTCATTTGTACTGTTTTTGTTTTTTTTTTTTAATCATAAAATGGATTCTTTATGCAATGTTTTAAACTAAAAGGTTGTATGGAAGAGTGTTGTGTTTACTTGATTTTTTTAGTTTTGGTTTTGGCTCAAATAGTTGAGATTGAATGTAATGTTTTCTAAAGAGTAAATAGCAAATTTTTGTAGTAATTGCCGTCAGGGTTGCATATGAAGGAAATTGAAAAAAAAAAATAAAATCAAAGTATACAGAAGATGAAATGTGGTTGACAATGGGTAATACTTTGGTTACAATTGGAACCCAGGGTGTGTGTTTTTGTGCTTCAAAGAGTTTTGGATGTTTCGACTTTGAATCTTTTTAAACTGAATAATAGGTTTCTAATGTCATGCTTTAAATGACAAATAGGTTTTGAATAAGATGTTAATGTTTTTAGAGGGTGAAATTATTATACCGTAGATTGTATAGGGCTAGAACACAAGCAACCATCCATACAGTTCTCTAATATCTGATGCAATTAAATCAACCATCCATACGGTTCTCTAATATCTGATGCAGTTAAAATCTTACCAAAGTTGGAATGCAACAAATTCTTTTGTTCGCAGTTTCTGTGATATGTGTCAGCTTTCTTTGATGCTAATTGATCAGCATGCTCTGTCTTGAGCTATTTCCTTTTTTTATCCTCACTGAAATGAAGAGTCTATTCTCTATAGCATTTTAGTGTTGTCCTTATTCATCTTATGTTGAAGCCATTGGATGTTTGGATATTGTTTAGAATCACAGTAGTTTCCTGCAATTCAATCTTCTGTTAATATTGTAAGTTCAGTTTTGTATGTCGTAACTGCTGTTCTTTCTTGTTTGATTAATGTTTCTTTGCTTTTCCCACAGGAAATTGTCATTGCTGACTCAAGGTAGCATTTTCTATCGTTTAATTCGTAGTTATTTCCTATTTGTGAATTAAAATTTACTATTTCCCTTTTCCTGTTTTGTTATTATTAATTGTGTGTTTGTTATCAATTAACTACAAATTTGACTGATCATGGCACAATTTTTGTGGCCTTGTTCTGTTGCCTTTTCTCCTGTTTAGAAATATAAAAGATGGGCAGCAACCTGAAGTTCACTGTTCCCGGGAGAGGAGTCAAGCAGCCTGGAAAGCAATTGAAGAGGTATTCTGAAGATTTACACATATGTTCGTAGATATATTTGTAGCAACTGTTTTGTAACTTTATTAGCTTTGATGATATATTTTTCAGTATCTGATTCCATTTATGGAGAAAGATAAGTATGAACTTTCTACCCAATGTCGACTTCATCCTAGCAATGATATATTTAGAGAGCAAGAGCAGCATAAAGTTCATGTAGACATAAATGAATGGCAATGTGGGTACTGTAAGAAAAGCTTCCGAGCAGAAAAGTATTTGGATCAGCATTTTGACAACCGGCACTCCAATCTGCTAAATGTTGTAAGTGAATTTTGTTATTTTCTTAATCTTTTAGAGTATGTTGAAGCTTGCATTTAATGGCTTTTGTCGCTCACAGCTGCATCACAGATGGATTTTTAGTTCCTTCTTGATTTTCTTACTCATTGCATTATTCTTTTCTTACTTTGTCCTGTTAAAATTGTCCTCGACTCATTCAATTAGAAGGGATATTTGCTTTCTCTAATTCGGAATTTGAACATAAACATTGGAAACCAGCCATCTTAAGTGTTGATTGAATTTAGTATTAACTTTACAAAGTAGAATTTCGCCACCATCTTTACCTCCTTGTTTCTAGAGTCACAGCAAATGCTTGGCGGATCTATGTGGTGCGCTCCATTGTGATTTTGTGATGAATTCACAGTCTCCGAAAACCAAGTGTAATCCTGCTGCCGCTGCTCGAAACCGTCACTTATGCGAGGTTGTACCTGAGTTTCAAATGTATTCTTGTAGCATATTATAATCCTTTTGTTTATATTGTTCGATGTTTTCTTGCAGGATCTTGCCAACAGCTGTTTTCCCGTTAGTCAGGGTCCTTCAGCTGTTCGTCTTCATGGTACCCTCATTTTCTTATTCCTCGAAACACATTGACAATCTTTTACGTATTCCGGTTTATGAAAAATCCATGTGGTAATACCCGGACAGAGTTCTTCTTGCGCCAATTCTGCGATGCCCACACATGCTCTGGTCGACAGAAACCTTTTACCCGGGGAGGGAGGGTAAGTGATTGCTTCTTGATAGATGTCTGTTGAATTTGGATGTGACTGAAAAGCCCCTTTGAATTCCTCATTCGGTTTACTTCAATTTTCATGTAAACTAAAGAAGCGGACCAATATCTTGTACATGGCGTCTGCCATACTTATTCTCATGTTCCTTCCCGTATTCTACTTGATCGTATATTTGCATCAGAGGTATTGTGCAGTTCTTGCTTAATATTTACTCCCAGTTTAAATCCCGGCATTTTTCATCTGATATCTTTCGTTATGATCATCTTTTGCAGGGAAATGCGACCAGGAACAACACAGCTTAAACGCTTCGCAAAACTTGCAAGAAAACCAAAGCCCTCTTGATTGGCACAGGTATTTTGATCCTCTCGTTGCATTTATCTTCAAATCTGACCATTTCATTACACCATAGTGCAATCAAAAAGTGTCTTGGATCCCATGTTTTTATCTTACATTTTTTCGAAGTTTTTTCTTACTAAACAGCCGGTCTACTTGTCCCTTCATGATTCACCTGTCCCATTGTCTGCGGTTTCGTATTATTTTGTTACGCCGGGTTAAATTACATGATTGCATCTATAGTTTAGCATAATCGTGTAAATCATCCTCCTAAATTTGACTATATGTCACTTTTTGTGAGTTAAAAAAAGAAAATGCACAAAAGCCTATTACATTATAGAATGATGCAGTTTACCTTCAGGGACATTTTTGTTTTGTAATTATTGCATGGTACTCCGTTTGCCCACGGAAAATATACTCAAAACTTTTGTAAATGGAGATTAAGAGAAGTAGTACTTTAATGTTGTTTTGGTCCTTTTTTTAGAGGTAAAAATAGAAGTTTTATAAGGTTAGAAATGTAAATTTTATTAAAGCAAGTTGAGTGTAAGAAATATAATAGGTCCATAATGTAAAGAGAAAAATAGTGAGTAGAAATTTAAAAATTAATTCAACTTTTTTACTAAAAATATATATATATATATTTTGATATCTATGGGAAATATGCTAGGTCCGTCAGCAAAACTTAGCTTATTTGGAGTTGGTGCAGAGATTAAAGAAAATGGATATTTTATTGAAAAAGTGAAAAAAGTAAAATGGTAATTGGGATAATTTTTGAAAATTTAGTTAGTAATTAAAAAGAAAGAAGAGAAGATGTAATAAAATTAGTAATAATTGTTGTAAATAAGTATTGAATGAAGGGTAATAATTAAATATTGATTTTTTTTATTTTTTCGAATATAGTAATGGGGTAAATTTAACGGACGGACGAAAAAAAAATGAAAATATATTTGACGGACAGAGATAATATATATTATTGTGATCTTGTGTGTACAAATTGGGGATTCTATGCACTAATACAATGTTACATTATGCGACAAATTTGGTCAGATATCTTGGCTGTGTTCCTTTAGGGTGTGTTTGTTTGGGGGTTTGGATTTTAAGTTGGGATTTGAATAGTAAAAATTTTGAATTTGAATAGTTGTATGATGTGATATAAATAGGTGTTGATGTGATGTTTTGAATGTAAAATTGATTTTTAGTATAATATAAAAAATAAAAAATAGGTGTTTGATTTGATATTTTTGGGGGGAAAAAATTGGATGAATAGTGTAAATCTAATCCAATCCCCCAAACAAACACACCCTAAGTTTTTATAAGTGTTTAAAGAATGAATTGTGAAAGTGTCATTAAAATATTTGTTTTTTGTTTTTTTAGATAAATAGTGAGAGTAAATAATACTCCCTCGGTCTCAGAACTATAGTTTGGTTGTGTTTGGCACGGGATTTAAGGAATATTAATATTATATTGGTAATGGGTAAAAAGTACGAGTAAAAGATTTTTTTGCCCTTTTGAGTGTATTAACGTAAAAAGTAGTGGCAATTATGTAATAATATTGAAAAAATAATGGTAGTTGTATAGTGATATGATTATTTATGGAAATGAGACTATTGTTTTGGGACGGACAAAAATGGTAAACGGGACTATTGTATTGGAATGGAGAGAGTATATTTTTATTTAGAATTATACATATTAAATACGATAAAAGTTGAAAGCAAGCACACCCTTTATGCATTTACTTTAAGACACAGATGATATGGATGTGATTTACCTTTTAGTGGTAGTTTTGGTTTGGACTAATTGCATAGTAATAGCAACACTTATAAGATCCCGGTAACAATGGATTGTGCCGTGATTGAAAAATGTCTCGATCCTCTTGAAAACTACGGATTTTGGTATTCTGCTAAACTTTGCAATGCATGTATTTCTTGATAAGAATTCGATACCTATTTCAGATGAACATGCATATTATTTCAGGATTAATGGAAATTGAACGTAGAGCTCCATTAAGAGAAGAGTTTGTCGACAACGATGTTTTTTTGCCTCCGGCCAACTTTAGACGAAGTGTGCATCAAGATTGTTGGTTGTAGCGAGGGTAAGTTGCATTGTGTAGATCATTTCCATCAGTTCTGTATGTATGATCAAATTGGTGTAATATTGGGAATGTATGTTCATTTTGTGACTTTTAGATGGATGTATTTTTTGTGTTACTAATGGGGAATTGTGTTGATAAAATAATTTTTTCGGTTGAATTGTTAGATTTTTAGGTTTCATTTACATTTTATTTAATATTTACAAGTTCAATCTCTACGTCACCGGGCCATTCTTTTCGGACTAATTTGAGCATTAAATTGATATAACCCTGAGTGTATCTATCTTGTTCACCTATCATGTTATTTCTTTTTTATTTTTTATTTTTTAAAAAGAATTACATCTTATTATATGACATGAGATAAGTATAAATAAACACACAATAATCGAGAGAGAGGAAGTAATATTTGTTAGAGAATACGTATCAACGTTGCCATTGTTGGATTGAAGTCTCGATTCTCGAATCCTTCCATTCCATACCTGGCTACACTTACTTCCCATCAACGACGAAACTAGCGTCTAAATTTCGGACAAAATATTATAATTTATTTAATATTTAACTAATAAATTTAAATAAAAAATAATGACATAATTATATATAAATACATAAAAAAAAACCCTCACGTAATTCTGTCCCTGCTTACTACCGTCCTTATGTCTCTATGCCTTAAAACTCACACAACACAACACAAACATTCACAAAATAAACTCACCCAAGCCTAAGGGCATCTCCAACCCTGCCAAAAAATGATGTTGCCATTTTTTTATTTTATTTTTTTTTTTAAATTTTAACTTTTAAATTTATTTTTTATTTTTCTAAATTAAAAAAAAAATTCAATTATAAAAATAAAAAATGGTTTAAAATAATATAAAAGATTGAATATTTGAAGAATGATAGTGAAAAATGAAGTTATGGTTGGAGTAAAATTATTGAGCAACTGCATATTTAAGAGTTAAAACTGAATAAATGGAGTTGATGGGTTGGAAATGATGTAAGTCATGGAGCTATGGCGTGGAACGCCACCGCGATCAGCTCGTTCGACAACAAGAACCCATCAGGATCGCTCAGCCGGAGATGCCCCACCCTCTGCCGTCGCCCCTTGTTTGTCGCCACCGCCTCCCGACTCTCATCCAACCACATAACATGCCCGCTCTCGACGTAAGGCCCATACGACACAAAAATTGACTCAACCGCCGACTCCCCGAAGGCTTCTCCGAACGCCCTCAAATCCAAACCGTCAGCCGTTCTCAGCGACAACATAACGACGTCTGTCGCCAACTCCTTAATGTCCACACCGCCGCTGCCGCCGCCGTAGTTCGACCCGTCTTCCAAACTCCGCACGTACGCGGCGTAATCTTTCAAATTCCTCGGCCGCGTGAACCGCGCGCCGCCGACGTAGCTGGCCGCGCCGAGCCCGAAGGCGCGGAACGGCTCGTTCTTCCAGTACGTCGTGTTGTGCTCGCAGCGGTACCCGCTCTTGCAGTAGCTGCTGATCTCATAGTGCTCGTAGCCGGCGTCGGTTAAGGCTCTCGACGCCGCTTTGTAAAACTCTGCCGACTGATTCTCCGAAGGCAACGGGAATTCTCCGGGCGTGTACCTGACGATAAAACTGTTAAACAAATCGAATAGCTCGCAAGTTAATTAGCTCGACTCGGGTCGTTAACAGAGATAAACCAGTCGAGCTCGAACTTGGCTCGCTAGTAGTTCAATTGAGCTCGTTAGTGATAATATTTTATATATTAATATAGTATATACTACCTCCGTCCGGCTCTAAGGATCCAATTTACTTTTTGATATTTGAATATTAATTATTACATAAAAACATAGTACAAATTAAAAAAAAATACATCAATTAGTGTCCTTTAATATTAATAGAAGGACATTTGTACAAAAAATTATACAAACATAAGAATATTTTTAATATTAAGTGCAATGACGCAAAAGGTAAATGTGACCCTTAGAGGCGAAAGCAGAGAGCATAATTTTTTATGTCAAAATTTCCATTTATTATTAAAATTTGAATATTTTATTATAAAAAATTATGAATAAAATTAAATATATTTAATTTATATATTAAAAAATATATAGAATATGTATAAAATTTAAGTCGAGCTCGAGTTCGAGCTTTACGAGTCAAGCTCGAGCTTGAATTTGAGCCTAACAGTAGAGCTCGAGCCATTATTTTTGTTCGAATTCTTAACGAGCCGAGTCGATCTTGTACCGTTAACAAGTTCGAGTCGAGCTCAAACAATCGATACTTGAGCTCGCTCGGTTCGTTTAACAGCTCTACCTACCGACAAAGTCCGAGCCATTAAATCCGAAAATATCGAATCAAGAAAACGGATCGAGTGTACTTACAGGACGCCAAACTTCGTGTTTTGCTCGACTTGAAGGTCGTACACCGAAACGTGCGTCGGCTGCGCTTGAATGCACGACTGCAAGCTCTTGTTCCACATGCCCGAGCTCTGATGCGGCAGCGACGAAATAAGGTCCAAGCTCCAATTCTCGACGCTGCTCGACTTTACAATGTCGATAGCTTCGTCGATTTCCTGGACGCCGTGGGCTCGGCCGCAGGCCTTCAAGAGCTCGTCCTGAAACGCCTGCACACCTAACGACACTCGGTTCACTCCCAAGTCAATCAGCGCCCGCAGCGTCGGCGCGTCGAACGTGCCGGGGTCCATTTCCATCGATATTTCAGCGTCGCTGCGAACTCCAAATTTATCGGACAATGCGTCGAGGATCAAACCCACTTGCTGAGGCGGCACGAGCGACGGCGTGCCCCCGCCGAAGAACACGGTTTCGAGAGGCGCGGCGGAGACTGAGGCGGATTCGGTAGCATGGATTTCCCGGCAGATGGTTTCGACGTAATTCGATATCCGCGGATCGGTCGGCGCAGCGGAGGAGCCGAGGGCGATGATCGGAAAGTCGCAGTAGTGGCAGCGTCGCCGGCAGAATGGGAGGTGGACGTAGGCGGAGGTGGGGGGAAGCTTGTGCAGAGACAGCAGTGAGGCTGTTTTGGGTGCGGCATTTTGTCGAACACTTGGTGTGCAGAGGTGTGCGAGTTTTTTGACCGGCGTTTTCGCCGGCCGCCGGAATCTGTACGGAATGGCAGCGAATTGAGGGGTGAGGGAGGATCTCAATAGCATATTTTTAACGAATTGGGAGGTAATGATCGATCGTATAATTTTTCCTTGTCGATACTATTTCGATACCGTATATATTATGGATAATTTTATTATGCCCAGACCAATCTTTTAAAGTGAAAGTATTGTCTTTTATATTCTTGGTCCATTTTTCTTATAATTCGCATAAAAAAATTTTTATTCACAACTATTTCACAAAACAAACGCACCCTATGTTCACCCAAAATTAGTTTTAAATTTTAGTTCTTAAAGAATAATACTCCTTCCGTCTCCGTTAATTTTTTCCATTTAAATTAGGTACTGAGTTTTAGATATTGTATAATTAATGAATAATTAAAAAATATATTAGTAAATAATTATAATTTAATAAAAATAATATTAAATTAATATTAAAATGACTAAATAATTTTATTAAAAAAATATATAAATTATAAAATTTAAAATGTGATTAAAGTATATAATTGTATTTAAAAAAAAAAAGACAAATTAAGTGAACTAAACGAAGTGAATAATAAATAATACAAAATATTTTTAACAAAAGTCAATAGATAAAATTAAAAAATAAAAAACCTATTACAAAAAAATTAAAAATTAAATATTCAATTTAAAATAATATATTTTAACAATAAATCAATCCCTCCAAAAAGCCGTTGGTGACAGAGCGACTCTTTGCTAATTTTGTGTTTATTTTTCACTTGCATTTATCATTCAAATTTTTTCTCCAATGTACTGTGATTCCTTTGCCAACTAATAAGATAAAAAAATAAAAAGTTAATATGATAAAAAATTTAATAATAGGGTAGCGATTGGTTGATATAGGAGAAACACAGTATATTCGGTAGAATCATTGAATCAATACAAAAATATATTTATTTGGTTTGAGCATAAATGTTAATATAGTGTATATTTTTTATTTTTTTAAATAAAAAATAGAAAAAGTAATTAAAAAATAAAAAGTTATAGTTTTCCCATCTCTTTTTAAATTGGTTCTTTGGAGTTTCGTAGTAAATTAAAAAATAATAATATTTTATTGATTAGTAGAAGTGTATAAGAATTTTGATATTTTTGTCATTTAACTTTATATAAAAAATAATTATATATATAATGATATGCTTGTAATTTAAATAAAAGTTAAACGTATCCTAATATTAGTGTATTATTATTTTTATTTAAAAAAATGAAATGAATACTTTTTTGCGGAACATACAAAAATGATAAAAATATATATATATATATTTTAAATTGAGACTAAAATGTATATTTTTTACTCAAAAAGAAAAATGAATATAATTTTTATAACCAACTGAGTACTTTTATATCTTCTTAAATACTCCTTATGTCCACACACAAAATATACAATTATTTTTGGCGCGGTGTTTAAGAAATAATATTATTTTAATTATAGTGGATAGTTAAAAGTAGTATAATGACATTTTTGCTCTTGCTTTTTGGTATAAAAGTAATAATGTGATGTAAAGTAAAGGTATTTATGAAAAAAAAAAAGGAAATATTTAATAAAATGTTTACTTTGTAATTGTATATCCCAAAATAAAAATATATATACTTTTTAGTTGGACAGAGGGAGTATTAATTTTATTTTAACATATAATAATAATAATAATAATAATTTTATCAGCATCGTTATCCTACACTATAAATTAAAGACACCCCTAATTAATTTCACAACGTATCTCCACATAACTTTTATTTTTACATTTAAATATTTAATTTTTTATTTTTGATTTTTTTGTATTTTTGGATGGATGTACTTTTAAGTATGAAAAATTATGTTGATAATATAAAAAATATTTCATTAATTATACAAAAATATGTTCATTTTGTTCTGATATGTGTTTTAATATGTTGTTCATTTGGTAAGAAAAGCTAGCATTTTTTACTAGAGATAAAATTATATTAAATTATTATTTTTTTTGAGTAATTATATATATAAATATATTATTATATCTTATGTTAATATGTATATATATTATATTTCTTAATAATATTTTTGAAAAATTATATCACTTGCAAATACTAAATGAACAAATTTATTATTTTATTTAATTAAAAAAATGATTGAACTGTAAAAATTTTTAAATTTGTTCTAAATAGAATATGTTTATGTTTTCGTTGGGTTTTTTTAACATTTCTTTTCATAATTTTTAATAATATATTCGTCAAATAGGATATTAAAATATTATTTAAATAAAATAAATTTAGAAGAAAACGCACATTCTACTACAATTAAAATATTTATATTTTTTACCCCAAATTATAATTATTATTCGATTCATACAATTTTTAATGAAAATATACTTTATTCATTCATATATGGTAAAATAGTTATTTTTCAAACACAAGAATTAATATGGGAATTAAGTGATGTGATAAATGTGCATTTATATTTTTATTGAAGTGATACCATGAGATAAATGTAATTAATTTATTTTCTATTTGAAAATATTGCATAATGTGACAAATAAAGAGAATATTATATTTATTTATAAAATATCATATACAAAACCCAAGATCACATCCGAACCCACCTCACATTTATCATTTTACCCAAAATCTAAAAGTTGGTTTTTGAGGGGGGGGGGGGGGCTGTAATATAATGGTAAATGATACAACATGATAGTTATTAAACCTAAAAATAAACAATAAAATCATATCAAAACTATCTCTTATTTTGAAAAGTTAATTTGGAAAAACTAGCATAACATTACTCAGACAAACAAAAAACAATGAAAAGAGGACTATAAGACAAATGCAACAAATTTAAACAAAAAATGAAAAAATCAAGACTTAAACCTACAAAAACTTTTCCATTAAATGTTTTGTCTCTATTTCATACATTCAAGCATCCCCATGGCAAACAAGGCATTTTACAATAAATTCAACGCAAAACTTACAACAAGATCAACTATTATTTCCATGTGGCAGATGAAGTATTGTAGAACAGTACTGTTAAAACGAAAAAAAACCCAACAATCTCATTACCTTAAAAAAAAAATTCAAGTAACACTATTCAAAAACAAATTATCGCAATTTCAATATTTCGAAAAAAGCAACGAAGATACTACAATCATGGTTGTCACGGCGCCCTTTTGCGGCGCGACGCTAGGGGACTGCCATACTGCCATGGCGACGTGGCCCGCCATGGCGACAAAATGGCGAACGCGGCGTACTATATATAAAATTAAATATATATATAATTATAAACATTATAAATCCGTAAAAATAATACATTATCAACTTCCTATTAATTTTCAAAGCTTCATATGCCTTAAATCATAAAAAAAATATAATACCATAAAAAAATATAATTTCAATCATCAAACAAAACAAAATACTATTCATGAATCTCTAAACCACTAATTTTATCATCTCAAATTTCAACAATCAAAGAACTCAAGTCCACCGCTACCACTAGGAATATCTTCCAAATCATCATCATCAATGTCATCATCTAACGATACATCTTCATCGTCTAATTCTTGCTCCATCAATGCCGAAGTTGACACTTTCTTAGGACGTCTAGAGTATAATTGTATTGATGAACCTGATGTATCTCCGATATTTCCCCTTCTAGGAATATTACTGAGTTCAAGATTGGCCGGTGCACCCATAGTTTCATCAACACGACTCCATGTAAGATCCTCTCCCGAATGAACTACATCATTGGTGTCGAGAACCCACTCATTATCCCATTCAAATTCCTCCAACACCAAAGGATTGAAGTTCTTTCCTTCCTCGCGCCTCTTTTGAAATCTATTCGCAATTTTTTGATTGTATTGAACGAAAACTAAATCATTCAATCTCTTATGCTCCAATCTATGTCGTTTTTTCGTGTGAATCTAAAAAAAATAAATTATAATATATTAGTATATGACTACGATAGCAATAATGCTTAATATATTATTTATATAAGTAATTAAATACGTACAAATTCAAATGAGCTCTAATTGCGTTCACACCCGGAGGACGAACAACAAAGACTAATTATACGGAAGGCAAGTGATTGAAGCTCAAAATGAAGGCCTCCAAAAGCATTTCACCAATCAACTAAAATTGTAAAAGATTAAAAAATATATTTAATTCGAACTTTAAAGAAAAATGAAAAAATAAATAAATAAAATAGAAATTATAAAAATTAAGCACTTACGAGGACTTTTTGCCTTTTGTTGCTTAATAGTCAAATTGTTTTCCGAAGCTTCCCCGCATATTATCATAATCATCGACTTGATTACAAATCTTTGTTTGCAATTCATCATCAGTGATCATTTTTTCAAGAACATCATTAAACATAGCCCGTGCCTTACGAGCATATGCATTATCACTCACCTTGAGATGAAACAATGCAGCTCCATACAATTCAACTTCCATTTGATCCTCCCACCGACAATCAATAATATGCATAACTTCTTTCAACAAATTTGGTTTTTTCTCAAAATCTTCTTTGATTTTCCTTTTAGTTTCATTCATCGCTACTGCAGCATCGCTGGCTTCTCATCCTCGTCAACGATCCCCAAAACAATTATAAGTGGATGCGATGCTTTTATACAATACTCCACACCAGTTCAAAAAGGAGAAGACAATACCATGTTTGCTACTAATCTCCCGGAATTTGTATTAGCCAATTTCGATGCAGTCCAATCTTCGCTTAAAAATAAGCTCCTCAAAGCATCCCTATACTTATATAAGCTCTGCAAAGTCAAAAATAAAGTAGCAAAGTGGGTAGGCCCAAGTCTCACAAGATCAATGTTGTCCGTCTTCTCTCGCATCGCATTAAGGAGCCTTACGTGCTTTTAGATATAGGTAGTAACTCTTCTTGCATTGTCAATCTTTGTCCGGAAAACAGACAATTTCCCGATATCTTCCAACATAAGATCAAGGCAATGAGCTGCACAAGGAGTCCAATATAAAGCGGGTATGCGCTGCTCCAATATTTTACCCTCTGCCTTGAAATTAGCACCATTGTCCGTTACTACCTGAACCACGTATTCTTTTCCAATTTTTTCAATTTTCGCCTAAAGTAAATCCGTCAATAGTGATGCAACTTGAGCTTGACTTGATGCATCAATCGACTCCAAAAAAAATGTACCTTCTGAGCTATTGACGAGGAAATTAATCAAATGCCGTCATCTTTTATCCGTCCACCCGCCGGCCATAAGTGAACATCCGTATTGCTTCCAAGCAATAACATGTTTTTCCTTCAATGTTTGCGTCCTTTTTACCGCCTTCTCCAAAAGAGGAACTCGTAATTCATGATAACTTGGACCATTTACACCCAGTCTCATCTGCCCCGCTGACTCAATCATTATCTCAAAACTTCGAGACTTTGCCACATTGAATGGTATGCCATTTTCGTAAAAAAAAAAAATCTGCAATATGTCCATGAAATCTTTCGATCTCCTCCTTGCTCCTTTTACACGCTTCCAATGTTCTTTGACTTCCACTACTCGTTTTGCTGTCTTTTCTCAATGACTTCCTCCAGGGTTTTTCTAAGCATTGAGGCAACCGACTTTCTTTCATTTCCACTTTGTGACGACATCGATGAAAAATTTAGAACAGATTGCGAACACTTCCTCTTGCTCAAAGTACCCGAGCTAGGATAAAAAACTGAGTCATGAGATACCCCTTGCCTTGCTCCTTGAACATTCACATCAACATCGTCGTCAATGTCGTCGTCGTCATCTAATTCAACACGACTACGACTGGGCTGTTTTCCTACTGTCTTTTTCTTTAGGAACTCCCGCATTTTATACCGGATTTTTTCGGTAATTTTTGAATACTTCTCTACATCTCCAGAATTTCCAAGCAAGTGTTGTTTCAATCACTTTATTCCCGATCGTACTTGCTTATGGCAAAGGGAACATTATACCAAATTTCTATTTCCCAAGTCCGGCAAAAAAACATATTTCCAACCCGGATCATTTGACTTAGCGTTTCTTTTGGGATCTTTGGATGGATCTATCATTGACGCTTCACTTTTGGCCATAGTAAATTTAATCCTATAAATATTTATCAATGTCAAAATAATACAAAATAAATAAAAAATTTGTTTTATAAAATAAAAAAATATAGAAAATATGTTGCAAAATAAAAATAAATAATATTATTATATTAACAAATAATATATATAAATAATTAAATAAATATTATTAAAACACTATCTAATAATAGTAATATAATATATATTAAAAAACTAGTAATAGAATAATAATGATATAAAAATAAATAAAAAATAAAGCATATCCAGCGATTTCAATCAATTCTATGCGTGAAAGATCACTTCCACTAAGAAATCAAAATTAAGATTCCACTCACCCAAATATCGAAGATGAGGAATAGCGGATTGGAGCGGCTTCGGCGATTGGAGCGGCGTCGGTGGTCTGGAGCGGCTTCGGCAGACCGGAGTGGAGGGGAAGATTCACAGAAAAGAATTTCGGCTCAACAAACCATAAAAAATTTGAGAAGGGCTTTACATTCAGACCGGTTCAGTCCGGTTCAGGTAGGTTAATGGTAGAATCGGGTTAGGGCTTGATTTCGGGTTTAGGGCTACACGCCGCAACGTCACCATGGTGTCGCCGTACCGCCTTATGTCACAAGGTGGGGCGGTGACGCCTAGCGCTCTCCAAAGAGCGCCAGAACGCCGTGACAACCATGACTACAATAATATTTTCCCATTCGTTAAAAAATACAAATTTATAAAGTAATTGAACCAATACAAATTCTCATTCACTACAATCAATTAATCGGATCTACACATACTGAGATTTATGCAAAAAAACACAAAATACATAGAAATAACATAATCATCAATCTATTTAAATGGAGGAAATAAAATTCACCGGAATAATTGAAAGGGTAGGATAATCCGTTGCAGTCGCGTGCTTTGACACCTAGTTTGAGAAAAGAGCGCTGACACTTATCGAGGAGTTGTCGTATCTTGGAAGCTGCAATTTCCGTCAAGGACAGGAGTTGTTTTTGCATAAAAGAGAGAATTATTTCAATGACGTAGCTAAAGAATATGATGCGGAAAAGAGAAAAGTGATAAACCCATGTGAATGTTTGGCTCACGATCATTTTAGTTCAATAAATAACTTTTTTTTTTATTTTTTTATCGGCATTAGATTATAATATAATATAATAAATAAAAAAATTTTTTTTTGGATTTTTTTTTTTTTTTTAAAAGAATTGTGAAATTGGATCCACGAACATAGAATTTACCCGGCCCAAGAATAATCCAACGCGATCCGAGGAAAATCAAACCCAAACAAATATTCTCCGCCCCCCGCGTAATAAATTCCCCAAAAACACCGCAGCCACTCCCCCGCGGCCCCGCCGACGCAAAGCATAATAGATTCATAACAACCTATCAAACGTAAATTTTCCCTCACCGTTGAAGTCGATTTCAATAGTTTCGAAGGTTTTCTCACCACCTACGGAGACTTTGAAGGCTCGGGCAGAAGCTTCAGCAGCAGCGGCGATTCTCCGGCGTATCGTAGGGAATCTTCGTTTTCCTCTTCTGCAATTTCGCTGGAGGGTTAGTAAACTCAATCCTTACACTATTTCCGATTTTATTTTCAAAATTTTTCAATACCGCAGATTGCTGTTATGCTTATGCATTTAGGGTTTGAATCGTGATAAATTTTATCTTCTTGTTATTGTTATTGTTGGACTGGAAATGATGACACTGCCATGATGTTCACTTTTTATTTTGCTCTCAAATCGGGCTTTCCGTATCTTATTTTCCGCTTTGTTTTCCTCTCTTCCGTTGGTATTCTGCTCTGTTTAACATATAATTTATTAATCATTAGTTTTTATATATATGATGAAGAAGCTTTAATTTTTATATAAAACATTACATTTATCCCATCACTTAGCATCAATTTTTATTATTTTTAAAATTATTTGAAACTCGTTTAAACAAAATGCATTATTAGTTCTCTTTCAGCCACCACATGGTGTTTTTTTTTTTTTTTTTTTTTTTTTTTTAAATTATGTGATGCACATTCACACCATTTTTTTTTTTTTATATAATTCTTTTACAGAGGAGGAAATATTCTATAGTATTTTAAAACTACTGAGATATTTTAGATTTAGATTTAGATTTAGTTTAATATTTGTTTAGATTAGTTTTGATTGGTTTATTTTAGATTTGGTAGGCTTAGATTACGATTTGATTTTATTCATAGGTTGGGTTGTTTAGATTAGAGTATATCGTTTATATAGACCCTTGTTTTGATAATCAATAATAATATAATTTCTGAACTTCAGCAAAATAGCTTATTTTCCTCTTGAAGTAAACACATCTTATTCACATCATTATCACAATAAACTATTAGGACTAAACCCATCAATTTTTTTTTTAGTCCGTCCGCTAAATCTACCCGTTACTAATTTTGGCAAAATTAATAAATCAACTTTTAACTATTACTCTCTATTCAACACTCAATTACTTTTATTACATTATGTTTTATTTCATTTTTTTAACTACTAACTAAATTTTTTAAAATACAACAAACTATCTTTTTATTTTTGCAATTCTTATAATAAAATATTTATTTATTTTAATTTCTACGTTGGATCCAAATGTTTTAAACTTTTAATTTTAGTGGACGGAGGAGTATATTTTATACACATATATACATATATGTATGTATATCAGGTAGCTTTTGCCTTTTTGTTGGTATGCTATTTGAATTTGATACTAGCTTCATTATACATGTAGAGTACTGTGGTGAGATGTGTTTGGCTGTATTTCCTCTAATTATACTTTGCAGAAGTTGTGGTGCAGGCAAAAGCAAGACACATGAACAAAGGTCAAATTGCAAATTAAATAATCAAATCTTATGCATTCATATCGTTCTTCTTTATATTATTTTTGGTCATTGTAATTTTCTTTTTCATGCATGCTCCAAGAAGTTTGTAGAATGCTCAACACGAAAAGAATAACAACTGAAGGGTAGTCCCCTGTTGTTGCTCTTTCTTCTAATTTGGGTGTTGCTTTTCTCCTCTTTTCCTGTTCCAGTTTTTTATATTCATTTTTTGCATTTCAGTTATATATATATATATATATAACTTAGTACTATTAATATTCAATTGTTCATTAATTTGAAAGAGATCGGTACACTCCCACACTCAAAGCTCTACTAATTAGCCTAAAAGTTCATTATCATTGCTAGGGCTAATATGTATATTATATTGGGAAATGGAGAATGGATTTTGGAGGGTTCACAAATAGACAGTGATGACAGACAAATTTAAGTCAATAGCATGGTGATTTCATCTTTCCTATTTTAGTGTCTCAATGGCGAATGAAACTGTATGACAATTTTGTTAGCATCAAATGTGAAGCAGATGGTTAGAGTGTCCTGCTGATTGTTACATATGAGTTAAATCACTAGTTTATTTTCTAACATTATATTCTTGGGTCTATGTAATTTTTCAAGTTGAAAGAAAGGGCTATTTCTGTTATGTTTCAGAACTATTTTGTTTATGTTTGCATGTTACACAGTAAGAAATTTTTTGCCTGATCGGTTATATCATTCAAACAAACATTGCAGCAGTAGATTTTGTGAATTTTGGTTTATGCAGTTTTATTAATTCCACTTAATCATGCTTCCTTAGCAGTTCATTGGAATGAACTATAATTCATTCCAATGAATCCGAATACTTGGGTTTTATTTGCTTTAATTTCATTGTTATTGAACCATTTATATGATTTTGTTTACCTATCAGGTCTCGAGAGATCGCGAAGCCACCATGCGTAAGCAAGTCCTGTCCTTGACGGAAGTTGCGGCTTCCAGGATACGTCAGCTCCTCGATAAGCGTCAGCGCTCTTTTCTCAAATTAGGTGTCAAGGCACGCGGCTGCAATGGATTGTCCTACACCCTCAATTATGCTGGTGAATTTTATTTCCTCCGTTTAAATAGATTGATGCTCATGTTATTTCTATATATGTTCTGTTTTTTTGCATAAATCTCAGGATTTGTAGGTCCGATTAATTGATTGTAGGGATTGAGAATTTGTGCTGGTTCAATTACTTTATAAATTCATTTTCTTTAACGGAGGAGAAAATATTATTGTAGTATTTTCGGTGTTTTTTTCGAAATGTTTGAAATTGTGATAATTTGTTTTTGAATAGTGTTACTCGAAATATTTTTAGGGTGATGAGATTGTTGGGTTTTTGTCGTTTTAACAATACTGTTCTACAATACTTCATCTGGCACATGGAAATCATTGCATTGCGTTGAATTTATTGTAAAATGTCTTGTTTTCCATGGGAATGCTTGAATGTAGGAATAGAGACATAATCTTTAATGGAAAAGTTGTTGTATGGTCAAGTCTTGGTTTTTTTCATTTTTTGTTAAAATTTGTTGCATTAGTATATCACAATCCTCCTTTCGGTTTTTGTTTGTCTTAGCGATGTTATGCTAGTTTTCCTAAACTAACTTTTCAAAACAAGAGATAGTTCTGATATTTTTTATTGTTTATTTTTAGGTTTAATATTTATCATATTGTATCGTTTACCATTATATGATTTTGTTTTCCATTTTACAACTACATCATATTCATCCATATTTTTCATTTCTTTGTGCTGCTATCATATATATGGGAACGGCTAGGGTGCTGAATTGGAAAAATCAGCACCCGTAATATATACAAACAACACACAGTTTTATTATACACAGCGCATGTTATGTATAACAATGACATGTGATGTTGCTTCATAATTATAGCGTGCTGTATAACAGTACGTGGTGTGCTGAAATCAATTAGTTTGTGTTGTATAAGACTATAGTATGTATTGTCAGTTCATGTGTTGTAGGTTCATAATTACAAGTATGTTGTATAATAGTATGCGGTGTGCTGAAATCAAGTATTGATTGTGCTGTATAAGACTATAGTATGTGCTGTTAGTTAGTGTTGTTAGTTCATGCGCTGTATTTGTATCATATGAATGCAGACGGTGTGCTCCCAATAGTAACACAGTGTGCTGTCTAACAGCACACCGTGTGCTGCGGTGTGGTGTGTTGTCAGCACAGTGCTGAATTTTTAAAGTTCAGCACTGTAGCTGCCGCCCGTGTGTATATATATATATACCTCAAGAATGTTTATCGTATTAATTAATTTTCAGGACCTGAAGTGTAGTTACATTTTTTTCTTTTATCACATATTTATGTTAATATGTATAATTATATATTTTGTTATTTTTAATTTTTTTTTAGCAATTTTTCTTTAACGTGAGGTCTTTTGATATCGGCCGACCTGCTTTCTTAAGCATATATCGTAGCAGTGAGCCAATTGCTCAGTAATTCTACTTCGCGATAGTTTTGGTATTGTTTTCAACTTATTGCTAGCAATATATGCAAGTGAAGACAATCAACTGTACATGTTTAGTAGTTCAATAGATGGAAATATAGAATGCTTCCTGGATCACTTCCAAGTTAAAATATAATATGTCATGGATTGTGGATAGATATTTTTAATGGAAAATGAACAAATAATAATTGCATTTGTAGGAACTTTGTTTTTGGCTCTTGCATGTATATAAGTGTTCTTTTCTCACGTTCACAGATGACAAAGGAAAATTTGATGAGTTGGTTGAGGACAAAGGAGTGAAGATATTGATTGATCCGAAGGCTTTAATGCATGTGATAGGAACCAAGATGGATTTTGTTGATGACAAATTGAGGTATGATACAAGTCTCCACTTCCCAATTTTGTACAATATATTTGTGTGCAATAATTTGCTCTTCAATCACCAAATTTGGCTCTTAAAAGTAATTCGTTAAGGGAATGAAGACGAGTTTCTGAAATTGATTTCTTCACATTTTTTGCAGTATGATTCCAGATGTGATATAGAATATAGTAATTGACAAAATTATTTTATTTGCAGCCTTTTGATATATGAATGAAATAAAAGAAATCTTGTTTTCGATTTTTCACTTAATCTTACTCTAAGAAAATAATAAGGGGGCCATGTTTGAGTTTAAGATTGGAAATTGCATGCTTTTTTAGTGTAAATTATAGGCATCAAATGATTTTGATAGTTGTCCTAAATCATAAACTGGATTTTGCTGGTGTTTGTTGTCTTTAAATTTTAGCCTACATATGATTGTGTTCGAATGTCAATTTGATATATGTATGTTGCTCCTGACTAGATCTGAGTTCATATTTATCAACCCAAACTCAACGGGGCAGTGCGGCTGTGGGGAATCATTTATGACAATGAGCAACATTGAAGCAACGAAACAAGGCAGCAGCAGCTCGTGAACATAATTATATCGACTTTCTTACAACACAAAAATACTTATGTTTGTACACAAATTTTTTAGATCAAATTAAATAATAATAATAAAAACATAGTTTATGGTTTAGGACAACTGTCAAAATCATTTGTTGCCTATAATTTACACTCAAGAAGCGTGCGATTTCTAATCTTAAACTCAGACATGGCATCTCATTCTTTTTCTAAAGTAAGATTAAGTGAAAAAAACAAGAACAATATTTCTTTTATTCTATTCTAATATCAAAAGGATGCAAAAAATTATTTTGTCAATCACTATGTTCTCTATTACATGTGGAGTCAAACTACGAAAAAAAAAAAAAAAAAAAGAATAAGTCTATTTCACCCGCTTTCAAAGTACTTTTAAAAGCTAAATATGACGATCCAAGAGATAATTATTGCACAGAAACATATAGTATAAAATTGGAAAATGAACAATTTTATCATATTTCAATTTTTCATCAATAAAATCCATATAGGTTTCTATAACATGCATCAGGACCTTGGGATCAATAATATCTCCACTCTTTTGTCCTCAACCAACTCATCAAAATTTTATTTGTCATTTGTGAACATGCGAAAAGAACTAGAGCCAACAATGGGTCGATTCATCTCGGGTTGAATACTTTAAACGAGTTAAATTACTCAACCTTAACCCGACTCGTTTATTATCGTGTCGGGTTCGTGTCAATCCGTGTACATAATTGGATTGAAATTTTTGACCCGAACTCAATTATTTGGTGTCGGGCAACCCCAGGGAGCAAGCAAGAAGAAGATAGCGGGTCAAACTTTGTCAGCTCTAAAAAGAACACCTCAATATAGCCAGAAACTGAGTGCATGCAAATACAACAATTATTAGTTCATTTTTTATCGGAAGTATCTATCTACCATCCATTACATATTATACTTTAACTTGAAGTAATCTAGGTAGCATTTTATATTTCCGTCTATTATACAACTAAACATCTAAAGTTGATTGTGTTCACTTACGGATATTGTTAGCAATAAGTAGAGAACAATGCCGAAATTATCCTAAGCATAGTTACTAGGCAACTAGCTCATAACTGCGATATATGATCAAGAGAGCGGGTGAGCCAATATCAAAAACTTAAGTTAAAGAAAAAATGACAAAATAAATTAAAATAACAAAGGGAAAAGGTAACTACATTTTAGATTCTGAAAAATTATCAATACGAGGAACAATATTCAGGAATATTTACGACAACTAACAACATAAAATTTTTTGAAGATATGAATGAATACGACGTAGTTATAAATGAAACGCATAATAATATAATGGTAAATGATACAAAATGACTGAAAAATTAATCAATAACGGCCTTGAGGTATATATATATATATATGACAATATCGGCATGAAGAAATGCAGAAATATTAATGAATATGATGTAGTTGTAAAATGGAACAAAAAATCATATAATGGGTAAACGATACAAGATGATAATATTAAAGCTAAACATAAACAATAAAAATCATATATGGACAATATCTTATTTTGAAAAGTTTGTTTGGGAAAACTAGCAAAACATCGTTGATCAAGACAAACAAAAAACGGAAAGTATAGAAACAGAACGAGGAAAAAATTGTATTTCTTTATGCATCAGATAATGGAAGAATCACAAAACGTCAATAGAAGTGAAGAGAAAAAAAATTATAAACTGATCTGCAACTAACTCTACTTATAAGTGGTTTCTCTATCTATAAAATGGGTTTCTAAAGAATATAAAATGTATAATGTTTCTTTATTTGATAAAGCGTGTTTCTCTATGTTCTTCATCCCCCCTCAAGATGGAAGCGCTTGAACGCCCAGCTTGGAAGAGAGGGTGTGATGTTGAGAAGAGGCCAGAGGTTTAGTCATTAAATCTGCTAACTGAGATGCTGAGGGAATGTATGTTGTGTGTAAACTTCCATCAAGTACTTTATCTCTGGTGAAGTGCCAGTCCAGTTCAAAGTGTTTCGAACGGTCGTGAAAACATGGATTTGCAGCTAGAAACTATGCTGACCTGTTATCACAGAACAAAGTTAGAGGAAAATGAACAGGAATATAGAGATCCTTCATGAGATGTGTGAGCCAAATGAGTTCACAAGTAATATGTGCCATGCTGCGGTATTCGGCTTCAGTAGAAGAACGACTGATGGAATCTTGTTTCTTTGTTTTCCAGAACACAAGAGAGTGCCCAAGGAAAATACAATAACCTGTAAGTGATCTGTAAGTGATCTTCTTGTAGATAAACATGAGGCCTAATCAGAGTCTGAAAAGCCAGATACCTTAAGGCTGGATTGTACCGGATAGAACAAGCCATAACAAGAAGTCTTCTGTAAATATTGAAGAAGATGAATGGCTGCATTCAGATGATGACTTCTGGGAGCGGACACAAACTGAGATAGATGTTGCACTGCATAAGAGATGTCTGGTCGTGTCATTCCCAAGTATAAAAGTTTCCCAATTAAACTCTTGTATTTGATTCCAGAAGGTAATGGTGTTCCAGAGGTGTTGTCAAGCTTTATTCCAGCAGGAAGGAGAGTTCTTACAGTAGCTGATGCATTCACAGGAAAGAATGATAGTATATCATTAATGTACCTTTGCTGAGAGAGAAATGTACCGGATTCTGTCTTGCAAAGTTCAATCCCCAGAAAGTATGTCGCTGAACCAAGATCCTTAACAGTGAATTTTTTATGTAATGCATCCTTGAGAGAGACAATAGCATCCAAGGAGTCTCCAGTTATTAGAACATCATCAACATAGACTAGAAGTGCAGTAAATGTATTGTTGTTTTTCCTCACAAATAAGCTGTAATCATGTGCTGATTGTGTAAAACCAAGCGAGATAACAAATTTTGTGAACTCCAAATTCCACTGTCTACTAGCTTGTTTGAGCCCGTATAAACTCTTCTGCAACTTGCATACAGAACCAGGAGGAGCCTTAGAATATCCTATAGGAGGATACATGTAAATTTTTTCATTAAGAAATCCATGTAAGAAAGCATTATTAACATCTATATGATGCAAGGGCCAACATTTCGCAGTGGATAGAGCAATAAGTGTTCTGACAGTTGCAAGTTTAGCAACATGAGTGAAAGTGTGCTTGTAATCAACTCCTAAGGTTTGATTAAAACCCTTTATAACAAGTCTGGCCTTGGCCCGATCAACTGTTCCATCAGGCTTGTATTTGAGTTTATATACCGACTTCGAATGCAATGCTTTGTGGCTAATAGGTAATGAGGAGAAAGTCCAGGTCTGGTTTCTGTCCAGAGCATCAAGCTCATTTTTCATGGCTTCAAGCCAAATAGGATCATTTTTAGCCTCAAGGAAGGTAGTGAGTTCTTTTGTGGTGGATATATTAGAGACAAAGGCTTGGTAGGCTGAAGGGAACTTGAGTGAAGATGATGAAATAAAAGGGAAAGTATGACAGAAATTGGCACTTGGGAGAACAAAATCAGAGAACCGTATGGGCAATGTTCTGGTTCTTTGAGACTTTCTGAGAGGGAGTGGATTAGATCTGGGAGCTGGAGTAATAACAGTGTTTGTGAAAGCAGTAGTAGGTGGACTAGGAACTTGGTTAGAAACAGAATAGTGCTCAACAGGTGCTAGACCAATGTCTATGAGATTTTCAAACTCAGGTGTCGGATCAGAAGTATTGATTTGTGAATAAGACTGTTTTTCAGTGAATGGCAGAATATTTTCATAGAAAATGACATCCCTGCTGATGAATTTGTCATTGGTTTCAAGGTCATATAAAAGATAACCTTTTGAGGTAGAAGAATACCCAATCAGCACACATTTTCTACCTCTATGAGCAAATTTATCTTTCCTAGGAAGCAAGGCTGCATAGCATAGACATCCAATAGTTTTAAGATGATCAATAGAAGGTGTGTGGCCAAAAGGTGCTTGATAAGGGGATTTCCAGTTAAGGATAGACATTGGCATTCTGTTTAATGAGATATGTAGCAGCAAGTATACAGTCCCCCCAAAAAGAAATAGACAAATTGGCATGCAATTTCAGTGCCCTCGCAGTGTCTAACAAATGTCTATGTTTTCTTTCAACTATACCATTCTGTTGGGGGTGTAAGGAACAGACCTTTGGTGAACAATTCCAGAAGAATGAAAGAGGGATTTGCAGTTAGTGTTGATGAATTCAGACCCATTGTCTGTTCTGACAAATTTTGAAGTAGTTTGAAAATAGTTTTTTATATAGGATAGAAAATGAGAAATGATAGAAGGTACCCGGGATTTGTATTGAATGAGGTATGTCCAAGTGCACCTAGTTGCATCATCAACTATGGTGAGGAAAAGAGATGTTCCATCTGAAGTGAAGTGTTATAGGGTCCCCACAAATCAAGATGTAACAACTCAAAGGCTGAATTAGAGTGAGAGCTACTCTTGGGGAATAGTAATCTGTGAAACTTTGCAAGGGAACAAGTTTCACAGTGCCAAGATTTAAAATCATTGTCAGAACAAGGGAATATCTGTTTTAGCTTGGAAAAAGAAGCATGGCCAAGTCTATTGTGCAAAATATGCAAAGAATCACGTATACAAGAGAACTTAACAACATTATTTCCAACAGAGCTGCTAGAGTTATCAACATTGCAAACATCAACAATATTTGAAAGGTCACTATTGAAAGCAGTATCAATATCAACAGTATTTAACGCAGTACTAACAAGAATTTCAGCTTTATACTTGCATAGCCCATGAATAGTTGGCCCTCTAAGAATGATTTGGCTAGTTGAAGGGTCTTGTAAAGACCAACCATTAGTGAAGAAAGCAACAGATTCAATAGTGAGCAACAGATTCAACTCCTTGTCCTGTTATTTGCTTCTGTTTTTCAACTTGTTGAACAGCATAATATGCTCTGTCTATGTTTGGTAAAGGATCTGTAGTAAGGAGTTTCCCTCTCACATTGTCAAATTCATCATTCAATTTCATTAAAAATTGAATTAGCTTAGTAGTTTCTTGTCTTGTCTTCAGTTTTTCAGTTAAGTCACAAGTGCATTTTCCACAGCTACAAATAGGATAGGCATGTACACTATCTAACTCTTCCCAACATCTCTCAAGTTTGGTAAAAAAGGTGGCCACAGAAGAAGTTCCTTGTTCAATCTGATGTATTTCCCTTTCCAGATGATAAATCTGTGAAGCAT